TATTCGAGTAAGACGAAAATCTACGAGAGCAATCGTACGCTCAACAACAATGTGGAGCTGGTGCCAAGCGTGAATTCCACGCAGACGGTGACCAACAGTGTGAACATTGACAAGGAGCTGCAGGACATTGCGCTGAGCGATGGCATCTTGCCCGCACCGGGCACCAAGGTGACCACCACTGTGCGCACCTACACCTATGAAATACCATCCACTGGTCCCGGCAGCGCCACCAGCACCATCAATCGGAGCAGCAGCAACAACAATACACTGAGCAGCAGCTATAAGCACCATGAGACACTTAACTCTGGCCAGAACTATACGCAGTTGTCGCCGTCACATGTGCCCCAGACAGTCGTCTATAACACGGAGAGCTACTCGACACTGAACAAGCCCAACGATCGCCCGTTGGTAAGCAACCAGTCGTACGAGATTCGGGAGCACAAGGAGACGACCACGCGCGGCTTGAGCCCGCAGCCACGTCAGCTGCCGCTGGGACCCGCAATCAGCCCCAGTGGCGGCACGCCCAACAGCGGTAACCGCACCATTATCTACAACATACACAAAACCGACAATGTGGTCAACGAGCAGCGTTATCCGCACAGTCCGGCTCATAGTCCCAACTATGGTTCGCCGCAGAGTCCCGCACAGCCGCAGCTGCCACCTGGTGGCACCAATCGCTATTATTTCAAGGAGACCGAGACTTCAAATACCGTCAATACCATACACGGCCCACCCAATGGAGGCCCTACGTATCCTGTGGAGCCATCGCATCCGGCGCCACTCAAGCAGCTGCCCAGCACAAACTATCCGCAGCCCCAGAACGGCAATGGCTATCCACCGAACACTAGTTATACGTATAAATACTCTTCCACAACGAATACAAACAATCGCCGTGGACCTGGACCAGACTATGGAACAACCTCGCCCTTTCCCGTCGACGGTGTGGAGTATCCCGTCGGTAATGGCAATCCGCCGCAGCGTGTGGACGATCTAATGCAATCGTTTGGCACTGTAAGTAGACAGTTTGTTTATTATTATACAAATTTTCGTTAAGCAGTTATTTTTTTTGTTTACCTTCAGACGGATCATGTGGACCGCGTGGACATTGAGACGCCGGTTCGCAAGCGCGAGATTGAGACGTCAGTTGCCTCGCCGCAGCAGCAGCATGTGCCCTCCGTCAACAAGGCCGGCAAGGAAGTCTATTATCCACCTGGTCACGAGACGATCATCAACAGGCGCGAGGAAATGCATGCAGGCTCCGCGGGTGGTGTAAGTGTTTCCAAATCACTGCAAAAATTAACACATACTTATATATTCTATTTGCTTTATAGGGTCGCTGGGCTAAGGGCTCGGGCATGTACGAGTATGAGTCTGGCTCGAAGTCAAAGACGAAAACCAAATCCGGCGGCGCTGTGGTGCCACTGTGCCTGCCCCTTTGCTGTGCCATGCCATGCTCTATAATGTGAAAAGGAGTGCGCATTGCAACGTCTACTACTTGTATATAGGATTCGATTCTAATATTGCCGTTACTAGGTCTAACGCTAATTCCTGCCCCCTACGTACAGCTTGTCGTTGATATTATTTTGTTTATCTAACCAATTTTCGGTTCGCTTCTCTAATTGTTGTAATTTGTTGACCAAATTGATATGTCTATTATAATATCTATTGTTTGTATATATATTTCATATCCAGGCATTGCCCCAGTTTTTTTTGGATTTGGTATTAGTTCAACCTAACCTAGTTTGCTCCAAATTATTTGCTCACGATCTAAAAGAAAAACAAAAGCATTTATATTACAACGTGACCAGTGAAAACCCGAACAGACCCCATTAAGGTCTGCATATTTTTAAGTTTTTATTTGAAAGCCAATTGTTTTAACTGTATTTTTTGCATACCAAACTAATAAATGAGCCACGGAATCTAATTCCCCCACTCGCCATAATCATATAAATATATGTGTGTTACCCCGCTCCCCTCGAATATTATCTACTAATCGGCGGCCATTCGGCTGCCCAAAAGCGTAAACTGTAACCCAGACTTAAAAGGTAACATTGTCGTTACAAAGCCATAAATATTTTCTAATAAACGTACGCATAAAAATCAAAGTAACCTTAATAAAAACGAAATCTAACCAACGAAACGATATGTTAAATCTTTAATTGGTCTTATGGGCTGTTTTTTGTTGTTGTTGGAGATTGATAATTAGTAATGAATAGCCGGATTGTGTACGTTAGTTATCTGTAAGTCCGGGCGCTGAATTTCAAATGCCAAACAAATTGAGCATTTTTCCAAAAAATAGTTTTCTTAATTGAATTTATGAAATTAATTTGTTTTGATTTCTTAAAGCTATGATAACAGGCGCATCAAGATTGTTAATATAGTAAAAGTTTTATTCTGGTATAGTAAAATGTATTTTTTAATAAGTGTTACATTTGGTATTGTATATTAAAGTATGGTAGATAATAAACACCCTTGCAGAGGCTGATATAATTCGAGAGTAGTTTTTTTTTTTAAAGCCATTTAAGCTGCGCCAGTTGTCCACTTTGATATTTGGATCGGATTACTAAATAGAGCTGCCATTGGAGTACTCAGTCAAATAAAAGTTGCCTTTGATATTTCAAAATTCATACTTAAAATTAGTAGATCAGACCATTACTCTACAGGTCATCTGCAAGGGTATGTTGAAGATTCGGCATGCCGAAGTTCATATATTTTCATTTTTCTTTTAATTATCGTTTTGATCGAATAACAATTTGTATATCACAAAAGTAATATCTACATTTCACCTTGTAGGAATTGGTGTAGAATTTTTGTCTTGTTTTTTTATAGAGAGATTTTTTAATAAAATTAGAAGGAAGAAACAAAAATCAACAAAATCTATATATTCGCTAAAATACATAGAATATATTTTTAATGGGGCTAGCTGTACTACTAAAGTACATATGTATTTCTATATTGACTGGACATGCTACATACACAATAATTGTGTGTCTATTATTCGAGATAATTAGGCTACTTTGAAAAAGTAATGTTGTCATTTGTACATACACATAAGTAAATATTGTACGAAGTTGAGATTCGCATTTGCAACTTTGTCTTTTTTAAGAAGTTCGAGAACAAACTGCTCGGTCTGTGTGTTTGGCTAACTCTTTTTCTCGGAATTCTTCAGCTCAGCTAAGTACCAAGTAAAGGTCGGGAATTCTTTGATGCTATAGATCTCATATTTAATCGAATTGATGCCATCCATTTCAATTTTACCGATACCATTTTGCAGATTTTCGTAGCTACAAATAGAAAAATAAAGTTAATATCGTAATGCTATGCATTAAAGGCAATCAAACTGCACCGTTTTGGATTTGCTTTTTCTTTCTGATGTTTCAACATTTTATAGCGAGCTATATTTATTGGGTAACGTGATATGAATAGGTTGGCGTGTTTCAATCTGCAAAGTAATTATTATACATATACATATATTCATATTCATATCAATAATATACTACCTGTTGGACATATCGTCGTCCTCGCCACCCCAGCCAAAGAAAGAATTCGAAAAGCCGTTTACAGCCTGGAACTGTTGTCGTGTCATGGCAGAAACTCCGCCAAATATTGAGCGATAAGGCAACCTGTTCAATAAACCAATCCAAAATGAATCAAAATTATCATCTATGGAGAATGCAACAACATACTTGAAGTTCAGCGTGTCAATTGCAACGGACATGTGCCGCGGTTGACGTGGACAGTTGTACAGATTGCGTTCATCCAAAGGTAAAAGGTCGACGTCGTGGAATATAAAACAGTCCCACCGATAAAGCTTTAAGGCCTCCAAGTAACCAATATTCATCATAGCCGCACGATTAAAGGGCTTGCCATTGGTTTGCTCTATAATAAATATGCGATAGGCAATGTGCTGCTTCATTAGGAACGGATGTATGTTGCGTAGGAAGACCGAAAGGTGTGCGTAACGGTCGCGGAAGGGCACAACAATGGCAACATGGTATTGGGCAATGCAATCAGTTGGCTGATATGCGCCACCAGGACGCAGCAATGGCCCCAGCTCTGCCTCAATAATATCAAGAGATTCGAGTGTTGTGTTGGGCGTGATGGGTCCACCTAAATGATTATTGAACGTTACTAGAATCTCAAACATATGTTTAGCTTAAGCACTTACCATCTCGGGGATCGGGATCAGTGCAGTTTTCGGTTAGATGTAATTGCGGATTGAGTGTGCTGTTTGCATAATCTTGCGGGTGCGGATGCGCGTGCGATAAGTCTTGTGGAATGGAAGTAAAGTTTGCAATCGCAATCACAGTCGTTAAGGTTGAGTTGCGTTCGTTGTGCAACTCGCGCTCTTTGGATAGGGCCAAAGGAGCGGTGGGCAACTTATGCCCAGCCATGTTTGTGTTCCTCCCAGTGCCACTTCCGCTGTCGTTTCTGCTGCGGATGTGTGCATACTTGTGCACACGTCGTATGCTGCAATCAGACAATTAATAAATTAATGCAGGGGTGCTAAGTAAATATGCGTTTCTCGCACTCACCTCAGCTTGCTTAGTGACGTATTGCTGGATCCGTCCGACTCCGATGTCCACAAAAAGTTGAGCACCAGCAGAAGACATATTGCGCCGGCCACGAAGCGTATGAGATTCGCTTTTGTAAATATGGACATGGTCCATCGATTGCATCATTCCTTATTCGAGTTGATTCCTATTTTTAATAGCATTTTAATATTACTGCATCGTTTTTAGCTTAAAAGTACAAATATTATTGTTCGATTCCACATGCACCACGTTGCCGAACAGCTGATTTTGATTCGCGAAAAAAACAACAGGGTGTTTCGTGCTCGTTGGTCCATTGGCGGCACATTTTAAAATTGGCAATACTATACGGGTTATTTAGAGGGGGGTCCCGCCTTTCAATTAGGTAAAATCTGTTGTAAAAATATAACTCGAATACGGTACTGAATCCGAGCATTATGGATAAACTGTAGACTCTTAGGAAATCAATTTTTGTATTTGTACGTCTACTTTTAATTATAAAAACAATTTTTAAACATGGAAACTGAAGATTTTTTACAAATTGCAATGCGTTCTATCCTGGCAGTCGTAATGGCTCATTATCCTTTATATTGATCAATTTCAATACATCATTATGTGTATACTCTATGCGTAAGATCTTGTCATCTCCCAAGCTCGGATCAAAAAAGCCAGGTAAATCGCTCTGTAATCAAAGGTCGAATTAATATATAGTACCTTTCGCATTTAGTATTTAGAGCAACGCACCTTTGACGATTCATACAGTTGTAATGTTCCATCTCTGACTAGACACTGGATGGGCACTGTTACATCATGGGATGCTTCGGGCTTGAATTGCAAGCTGTCATCGTTAAGGCACCCATATATTGCTCTCTTGATGATCAGCCCCTTTCGCTTTTGCTCCTCGCTTATGATGCGATTGTAAGTGCTCTGCATCAGGTGTATTGCTGCCATTGCCTCCGATTTCTTAGCGGCTAAGCGCTGCTCATTCTGGCGCTTCGAGCGCTCCACTTCGATGTTCTTGCGATCAGCTTCCATGGGATCCATGATGGTCTTTTTCACGAAAAACCACGCAATTATCGGCGTCACTGAGGCATAAAAAATGGCTGCAGGCACTATTTCATCGCTTAGATGTATAGGGAACACATACGACTGATTTGAACGTATTATTCTGGAATCATAAATGGTTTTTTAGCAAGTTAAATATTGTCAATACAAGCTCCACTCACTTCAATTTGAGTATGACTCCGGAAGGCACGCCAACGGAAACGGTTGCTATCACCGAGCTATATTTAGAAACTTTTTTCTCCACTCCGTACTCGCCCACAAATCCAAAAGTTCCCACTCTGCGAAATAAAAGAAATTGGTTAATACCATGACATTGTATGTTTAAAATTATGCTCCTCACTTGGTCGCTAGTTTCAGCTTGAGCTCGTTCTCCAGCATCTTACGTGTATAGGAGACTCCAAAGTAGACATGCGGCGTTCCTATCACAAAGGATGTGCTTATGGCATGCTGGTCGTTGGAGTGATCGATCTGCGTGGACATGGATGACTGAGGACCAGCATTGAGGGTCAGGCTGCCAACGGTGTGCTTGTCAAGCTGGACAGCCAAAGTGGAAAACACGGCGGGTATTACACCATTCTCCTGGAAACTCATGTTGGTGCCGCCGTTAAGCGTCAGCTTTGAAGTGAGAGTGCGTCCACCTGTTGCAGATGCATATACAGATCTTAACAACCTAATAAACCGCATATAGCGCAAATCTTAAGCCATTTCTCTTACCCTTAAAACCCAAAAGAAAGCCATTCCCCGCGCCGAGGCAAACCTCCATCCAGCCTTTATTCAGAAGCCGACGGCCCGCAACCATAAATCCGCCAGTGCCGGTGCCATTGGATGAATACAGATTGCCACTCATGACAATCATGTCCTTGCGTGTTATGGGCGCCTCGATCGACTGCGCAATGCTCATGGATCCGATCTCCACTCGCGGCATCTCAGAGTCATCATAGGGGGTAAATATTTCCGTCGCATTCACATTGATGGTGATATTTCCTCGCGGATTTGTGCGCTGTTGTAAACGACGCTCGGCGGCAGCTTGTGCCAAGCGTTCATATTCCTCCCTTATCTCTGCCGGTGTCCTTGTCCGGTGAACTATTTCCCAACCTTCCGTTTTGAGGCCCTTCTCACCGACTGAGTCGTAAATAGCACGCTGGTGCGGATCTGAGAGGACCTCATAGGCGCGTTTTGTACGATTGAACATAATTTCTGCTTTCTTTTTGCTATCCGGGTCCGTATGTTTGTCCGGATGGTAAATGCGGCTTTGCTTCCGGTACGCGGAGTTAATCTGCTCGGTGGTGGCCTACAACAATAAAGATTATTGCAAAGTTTCTCGTATTCTTGTAACAGGATACTGGATGCACTTACATTTCGCGGCAAATTGAGAAATGTGTAGTAGTTTTCATCGAGTTCGGCGTCGGATTCGTTGTCCGATGCCATAACGCCGAATTTTCGAGTTAGACAATCGACAGATTACGCTCAGAGTGTCTAATGTACCGGCTATACAAAGGCGGCAGAAACAGCATCGGTCGAACCGACGTTTTATGATTCAATTTTGGTGAAAATTTTGAAACAATTTTTTTTTGTAATACTTTACGCAATAATAACAACACGTGTGATGGAACACGAAACTCTGGGAAAACCTCACACACAGGGTGCTTCTGACAGATCTTTTGGAGAAGGCGAGCCTCTAACGTCATAAATCAAACTGTTCACAACATAAGCTATTACAGTTTGTATTGCCGAATTATTAAATACACAAATTTCAAATCAAATCTGCAAAGCTTTGTAAATAATTTAAAGAAATCACACAAATACACTTGCCACTAAAAAACGCTGGCAGCTCTGTGGGTCACATTCAATGCAACGCTGCGTGTTTTGTTTCAATTCCGTCAAAACCGATTATTCCTGAGCGCTGTTCACATCTCTGTCTTCTGTCTTTATCCAGCCCTCGTAAGGGAAACGTGCTCGTGGTTCGCTCTGACGAAATTTTCGCCTTAAAAGCGGTGCAGTTTGCAGCTCTTTTATTTGATAATTAGTAGCAGTGTGAAATTAAGAAAGTAAAATACAATAATGCTGCGCGTTCCCAAACTTTTGCCACGCCTTGCGCGCCAGGCCAGCCTTGCAGCATCATCGAATATGTCCGCAGGTTCTAGTATATTCCGCGTAAGTACAAATTGGCTTTACATAATACCACGAGCGGCATGTTCTAGCAATTCATGTTCTTACATACGCTTTACGTATAATAAATAATAAACGCATACTTGTGTTATTTTCAGAATCTGCCCGGTGCCTGCAATGGATTCTCGGGTCAAATGCGTTACAAGTAAGTGAACTTTCATTTTTCAGCTTATCTTACACATGTTGATTTGCCGCACACCAATGCGAAGACAAACTTCAAATCAAACAATATGCGGCTACTTATGTAATAGAATATTTCAGTTATTTTCGACAATTGTTACGTATGCAATTTAAATTGCCATTTCAGCTACAATATTGCATCAGTTTTTTTAATCTTCTTTTTTTCATAAATGTAGGTTTTTTAAAAAACAAGCAGAGACAAACTACATATAAACATGCACACATACTGTAACATGCAGTTCTTGGCAGTGTTGTGCACTCTTGTTCACATGCATTTGGTTCATTTCTTCAGTTGAACTTTGGTTCGCTCATTTTACAATTTTTAATAAATTACTTTTTATTGTTATACTTTTTAGGGTCAGGCTTATATAACTTCTTTTATGGAGTATAACAAGTCATTAAATTATCTTTTATGTTTGGTGCACTATTTTCTTAAAATGTTATTTTCAATTAGTTGGCATAAACTGGTTCAGAATTGAGTTGTACAACACTCACTATTGACCTTAGCGCTTATCGCTTAGTCTTATCACATTCGCGAATATCTATTTTTAACACGTGTTTTTTTATTTTCTATTTTTCGCTGCCCTCAGATCTGGCGAAGTTAAGGGTGCTGTCATCGGCATCGATTTGGGCACCACCAACTCCTGTCTGGCTGTGATGGAGGGCAAACAAGCCAAGGTGATTGAGAATGCGGAGGGCGCGCGCACAACACCCTCACATGTGGCTTTCACCAAGGATGGCGAACGTTTGGTTGGCATGCCGGCAAAGCGTCAGGCGGTCACCAACTCGGCAAACACTTTTTATGCCACAAAGCGTCTGATTGGCCGCCGCTTTGACGATCCTGAGGTGAAGAAGGATATCACAAATCTGTCGTACAAAGTTGTGAAGGCTTCCAATGGCGATGCCTGGGTATCCTCAACAGACGGAAAAGTGTACTCGCCCTCACAAATCGGTGCCTTCATTCTCATCAAGATGAAGGAGACCGCTGAGGCGTACCTCAACACACCAGTCAAGAATGCCGTGGTCACTGTGCCCGCCTACTTCAACGACTCGCAGCGTCAGGCTACCAAGGATGCTGGCCAAATCGCTGGCCTGAATGTCTTGCGTGTTATTAATGAGCCAACAGCAGCAGCGCTGGCTTACGGTATGGACAAAACCGAGGATAAAATGTAAGTTAATACGCGGCATTTTCAAAAGCAATCTAATAATTATATATATGTTATGCATTCCAGTATTGCTGTATACGATTTGGGCGGTGGTACTTTTGATATTTCCATTTTGGAAATCCAAAAGGGCGTTTTCGAGGTGAAGTCTACCAACGGCGACACTCTGCTGGGCGGAGAGGATTTCGACAATGCCATCGTCAACTTTTTGGTGTCTGAGTTCAAAAAAGACAGCGGCATTGATATACGCAAGGACAATATTGCCATGCAGCGTCTTAAGGAGGCAGCGGAAAAGGCCAAGTGCGAGCTGTCGTCATCACAACAAACAGACATCAATTTGCCCTATCTGACCATGGACTCCGCTGGACCCCAGCACATGAATCTGAAAATGACTCGCTCCAAGCTGGAAAGCCTTGTCGGTGATCTCATCAAGCGCACCATTCAGCCATGCCAGAAGGCGTTGTCCGATGCCGAGGTATCTAAGTCTGAAATCGGCGAAGTTCTGTTGGTCGGCGGCATGACGCGTATGCCCAAGGTGCAGTCCACGGTGCAGGAACTGTTCGGACGCCAGCCTTCGCGTTCGGTGAATCCCGATGAAGCTGTTGCCGTTGGTGCCGCAGTTCAGGGTGGTGTCTTGGCCGGCGATGTCACTGATGTGCTTCTGCTTGATGTCACTCCCCTCTCGTTGGGTATTGAGACGTTGGGCGGTGTTTTCACGCGCCTGATTTCGCGCAATACCACCATTCCCACCAAGAAGTCGCAGGTGTTCTCAACGGCCAGCGATGGCCAGACTCAGGTTGAGATTAAGGTGCACCAGGGCGAGCGTGAAATGGCTAACGACAACAAACTGCTGGGCTCCTTCACACTGGTCGGCATTCCGCCAGCGCCCCGTGGTGTACCTCAAATTGAGGTTGTCTTCGACATTGATGCCAACGGCATTGTGCACGTCTCTGCCAAGGACAAGGGTACCGGCAAGGAGCAACAGATTGTGATCCAGTCGAGCGGAGGCCTCAGCAAGGATGAAATCGAAAACATGATCAAGAAGGCCGAAGAATACGCCAGTGCTGATAAGAAGAAGCGCGAACTGATAGAAATTGTTAACCAGGGCGAGAGTATTGTACACGACACAGAGACCAAAATGGAAGAATTCAAGAGCCAGTTGCCCGCTGAAGAGGTTCGTAATTGAAAAACCTAACTCGGCAAAGTTTGGTTATTTATAATATTAATTTCTTTTTAGTGTGAGAAGCTGAAAAAAGAAATTGCTGATCTACGCACCCTGCTGGCCAACAAGGAGACCGCCGATCCAGAGGAGGTCAGGAAGGCTACCACTCAGCTGCAGCAGTCCTCACTGAAGCTCTTCGAGATGGCATACAAGAAGGTAGTCACTAGCAAACATAAGTTGTGTATTTGAGCTTAAATCGAACCTTGATTTATTTTGCAGATGTCCGCTGAACGCGAGAGCAGCTCCAGCGGTGGCAGCAGCAGCAGCAGCGGCAGCAGCAGTTCGGGCGAAACTTCTGGCGAGGCCAAGAAGGAGGAGAAGAACTAAATTAGGCAAACATAGTCGTAGATGTTGTTCCCTTATTTCATAATAATCACATTTGGATTTCGATTAAGTTCTATGTTAAAACAAAACAAAGCACATCATATTCCTGATTCTTCAAAATCATATATATATATATATATATATAGATATTTATGTATATATATATATAGTTCCCTGACCCACTCATTCAAAAAGGCATTTACCCAAATTATTTTGTAATATGCAAGGACCTACGACCTACGAGATGCTGACACCGACGATCAACGAAACACAACTCGAAGTCACGACAGTTGCATTAAGTTTTTTTTGTTTATAATGCACTCGAACGTCTGGATCGGAATCTATTGTAAATCTGTGGTGGAAGTTGTGTTGTGCTTACTGTAAGATTTTCCTTATTTTTACTTTACGTTTATTTTAAACTAGTTGTAGTTGTACAATAACGAGCACAGGCAGCACAAACCCAAATCTTACAAGCATCCACATGAGATAATGGCACGTTGGCAGATCGGAAGTCATAATTTAAGCAAAATTCTTTGGTTTCCAGTGGATAACCAAAAAGTTGACTGGGTAAAATGCAATCGCAGTCGCTATACATTTGTAAACTTTAAATATACGTGAACAAAAATATTATTTACAATCTGAACATACAAATGTTTTACTACTTGTACACGATCCGAATTATGGGTGTAAATGTCTTTTTGATTGCAACAAAAGAGTGCCCGACTAGCAGATGCCCTGTATGCAGCTTCGAGTGGTCGTACTATATATTTGAACTGATTTCTGTAACTAAACAAACTGTGCTTCATTTTGTCTAGCAATAAAATATTGATTTTTAAAAAACTTTGGTGTTTTGACTGTAAGCCAGGAGGGATTGGGACTTTGGCAGACAGACAGACTTGGCATTATAGAATGTTTTGCGTTATTAATCGGCACCATTAAGAGTCATATAAATGCCCTATAATTTGGCCATTTGCCGGCTTAATAGTACAATAGGTTATTCATACACTCATATCTATTCGTTATCTTATCAAATGCTGGTGTATTATTGGACATATTATCAAAGCAAATATATGTAAAGGACCGGGTTGAAAACTCAAATAAAGGTTTTGTCAATTAGCATGCTTTTGATTTAAATTCGTGTTATTTCTATTAATATTGGTTTTAATCAATCTAATTAATTATCTATATCGCTGCCTTGATCAGTATCTTTTCTTAGATAAAGCTGATTCGCATCGCATTTAGAAATTCTTTAAAATTCAAAGTTGTCTGGTGATAAAATCAAAGAGGATTTCTTCCTTGAAGCAGACAATGATCAATGTTAACATTATAATGTTATGTTATGTTATGTTAATGTTAATCCTATTAACAGTTGCATGTCATTTCAACATTTTATACTCTGTTCTCTGAGTAAATAGAGAATATTGGTTACGTGCATGGAACTCAAGTATCAAATTTATAAATTAATGCTCTCTATGGTTGCTAGAAAGTATTGAAAATCTATTAATAATTTTAAAGAGTTTTAAGTAAGAGTCAC